AAAATATATATTTTAAAAAGTTACAGACTGCAGCTTTAAGGTCTATGCAAGTGTAAATTTATACTTTTGCTGATTATCTTTTTTATAACTAACAACACACACAATAGAATCATTTAACATTCTGGCCTAAGACTGTTACTTATATGTATGGCTCACAACCAAGAGACAGTATGTATGTATTATACATTTCCTGAATCCTTAAGAGTCCTGTGAGTATTGCAGTTATTGTCTCTTGTGTCCCTAATGCCCCTGGGTGTCACAGAGCTAAAAGAGAATTTAATTTGGGCAAAATTTGTGTAAAAATGTTTATTATTTGTGGTTTATAAGGTTCTAGTGACCCTGTGTTGGTCAGAGAGACAAAAATAGGGGCTTAAATGAAAGCACAGAGAGTTCCCTTTAAGATGATACCAAACAATAATATAAACCTTTGTCAAACATTCATATCATGAGCTTAAACCAGCTGTACACCAGTGTCAAAAACAGCATTTTTCTTAATTAGCTGATAGCTGTGATTTAGCCACCACTCTGGAAGGGCTATCATACCAAAATATCATCTACAGAAATGTACCTTTTCAAAAGTTATGATGAAGCTTTGCCACCCTGAAACGGACCAAATTGTGAAATTTTGGCCTCTGGCCCATGGACTATATGGGACATGGAAACTTTTTGTTTCAGCGGGTGACCGCTCCCCCTCAAACAACTYGTCGCACCAGTGCGACCGGACTTTTTTTTAGTCGTATCTGGTCGCACTCTAGAGCCCTGACTGTATCAGGTTACCAGTGCTAGTTTCCACCTGTAGTCCCTGACCCAGCCCACACAATATTGTAAAAGAAAGAAAGAAAAAATAATAAATAAAATAATAAAACAATAAAATAAAATAAAAACACAAGAGCAGCTGGATGCTATTCAGAAAATAAAAAAGMTAAAAAAAATTAAAAAGAAATTAAATAATTAAATCTATATTAGATGATGTCCGGTACAGCTCAATAAACTATCTGAGCTGACCCAAACTTGTTTAGATCAATATGTGCCCTGACCTGAATGTTTTTGCATCAATCAGAGTTAGCTATATTTTACATAAAAAGAGGTCGGTTGTATTAGCTTGAAGGTGAAATGTTTATTTCAATGCAGGCCAGAGCACCGCTGAGGTATGACAGCTGTTCATCACTGCTTCCAGCTTTAATTTTCTTTTTCATTCTAGAACTAAGGCAACAAATAACTCAGATTTACTTTTCTTGCTTCCTATTTGTACAAGTTTCCAACGTAGGTTATTTATTTGAACAAAATAATTCTCCATACACTCCTGTAATATTTTAGCCACAATTTCCTTAGATTACCTCAAAGCAAGCTCAGTGTTTCTTTTAGTATTTTCTCTGTGGATGAATTTTTGTCATTACTATAAATATGAAATATTTTAAAAGGATAACACAGACACACTGAATGAGCCTCAGAAAGGTATGCCAGAAACATTTTCAGCTATGTGCACTTCAGAAAGTAATGAAATGACAACAGCCATCTATCCATTTCCATTAGTAGAAGAGAATAAGATAATGGCTTAAAAGAGACCAATTATGGGTCCTAGAAATGTTTATGMTATGTCTGTGGGCTATCCAGACCATGTTCATTCAATTTAATGCACAAAATAATTCTCAGATAATAAAATTTCCCATTTTCTAGTTCTGCTGCTCTGACTTCTGTTCAGAAGAGCTGTTTATGTTAATGAGCTCTGTTGGTAACGCCCTCCAAAAATCTGTTGACATTAACTCCGCCCTCCAAAGCCAGCGTTTACGTTAGCATGGCTAATAATAGCAGAAGCTCCGTTGTACAACCTTATGAGACCCAGAGGCAGAGTTGTGGTCCCAGCTTCTTTTTTTTCTCTCCTCCTCTGCTCTGCGCTCACTCTGCATGCTGTTACCAGAGCAGGGAGCAGCAGCGGTCAAAATACCTCAGAAACTCTAACAAATAGGCTTTAACAAGGCTTTAATAAGATAAACAATAGAGGTACATGAGAAAACGTGTTCATAACGAATGAAAATAAAATAATTAAATTGTGTCCGTGCTGGTCTCAAACCCTGGTCTCCCACTCTCTGGTCCAACACTCTACCCATTGCCCTATTGGAGGCTTGTTGTGTAATGAGCTACACATTACACAACAACACGGTGACGGCTTTTTATACTGAGGAGGTGGAGTTTCACCCGGGGGTTGCTAGGTAAGGGGCTGAATGCAGGTTCAGGTGGGTTGTCATACGGCTTGTGACATCACAAAATGACGGAAATATAAAACTTGTCGTTAATATACATTAAAAATACATTTACTTACAGTAAATATGCCCCTGGGTGCATTTTTTTGGTCCTAGGACTGTTTTTTTAAGAAGTACATACCCAAAGTTGAGTTAAAAAAAAAACCTTTAAAAAGTGAATTTTGCATAATAGGTCCCCTTTAATGTTGATGACAAAAATGGAAAAGAAGCCATGAGTTCTAACAATAATAAATAAATAAATAAATAAATAAATAAATAAATAAATAAATAAATAAATAAATAAATAAAGAACACAAGCAAACATGATTCTCACCAAATTATCCCATTCTGGCATCTGAGAGCAAAATGAGTTTTCTTACTTCAGTAACGGTTCTCTCACCTTGTGGAACCAGGAGGACACTCTTCATCAGGTTTCTCAGAAGTCCAGCACTCATTCCATGTTCCCCTGCAAACTCAGTGAGCCGCTGCATGAATCTCTCCATCTACACACACACACACACACACACACACACACACACACGCGCGCACGCACGCACGCACGCACACACACACACACACACACGTGCGCATTTATTTGCACATATACACAATGGGATTAGCAAAGTTTTATCTCGGTTGAGTTATCAAAGCTGGATCCAAAGTTTTTTTAACATGAAAACTGGGTGCAAGCTGAGCTGACTCACCTCTTTCGGCTCCAGAAGGAACTGGAACAGAATTTCAATCAGACAAGGAAATTGCTGCACAAAAAACAAGTATTGTAAGAAAAAAAATACTGTTTCAAAAAATTATTTTCACAACATGTGCTGTCTTGTAAAACTGTTGCTTTTTTTTTTTTACATTTCTGCTTCTCTCTCAGCATTACTTAGTTTTACAATGTCACAAATAACATATAATGTACCAGTGAGAAAGGGTTTACCATACACAGAATTARGAGCTACACTTTTAAAACCCATTAGTCTTTAAAGGCCTCAGTTTGGAGGAACCCAGTTTAATTTGACAGACCAATGAGCCAACAGTTAGTCCAAACACAGCTAGAACCAACATGAACTGCTGCCATCTTAAAACAGCTCCGATCTTTAAAGTTTTACACAGTTCATGCAAACACTGTTTTCTAAAGGGTTGCGTTTTTTATAGAATTCTATGGTTCTTTGTGAATACAAACAGCAACAGTGCATCACTTCTGGTGTAACGTGGCTTCACTTCCAGCACCAATTTCTGATTATTTTTGTTCAAATACCCATCTAATACAAAACTGACAGCAGTTTAAAGAATAGTTTTTTCGATGAGCCACTGAAGATGTAGCCTGGTAAAAACCAGACTCTGTCCTTCACTTTGCTTCATACGAGGGTCTGGACTCTCAGCTATAGAGAAGAGATTCTTGCTGGAGGCGTGGCCTCTGCTGAAGTTTAAAATGATTGGATCGGTTGGCCGRGAAGTATGCGTGCCAGCTCCACTGTGAAGGAGYCTAAGCTAAGAYGCTAACAGGAAATCYCGTGTGCTGTAAARAACCCTACTGAGAGGAGAGAAGTACCGAGCTGAACGAGACGACTGTAAATGAGAGCTGCTGCTTTGTCAGAAAAATTTAATTTAATTTGGAAGCCTTATCAGACTGGCTTCATTCACTTCCTCCACTGCCGTATGCTAAACTAACTAGCAGACACTGCGCAAAAAATCGARGTTCTGTTCTCTGATTGGCCCAGACAAAAATWCTCCCGAAGAAATCTTTGTCTATGGGAGAAGTRCCAGACAGAGCCATYAAGGGAAACTAGAARTGAGTGGAACTGCGTAGGAAGGCAAGGGCCAGGRTACTGAAGATGAGGCAGAAGTTGTTTTAAGATGGAAAAATGAACTTTGTGGTTCACATGAAAGTTTGTTTATTTGTCTTTAAATTGTCATCAGTGTTGCATTACACAGGGTTTTTCAAATTCCTGATTACAATGTAAAGATTTCGAAATCTATGTTTTACTTTAATTAAATTTAGGCAGTACCACAGCTCAGTGGTTAGCACTAATGCCTCACAGCAATAAGGTCCTGGGTTTGATCKCTGGTTCAGACCAGGGYTCTTTCTGTAAGGACTTTGCACYTTTATTTGTGCTTGTGTGGGTTTCTTCTGGGTACTCCTGTTTCCTCCAGCAGACCAAAAACATGCACCTTAGGTTGCCTTCCAGTCCAGGTCTCCCTTGCAYAAGAGATTTGTGATCACAATCCAAATAAAGGTTAATTTAAAAAATCTAATTTCWAGATTGGAGCTGTTTTAGGACAGCAAAAGTACATTTTAATCACAGCTGTGTTTGCACTAGCTCTTCAGTCCTGTTGAGGGAAACTATTGGTCCAAAACTGAGGTTATCCAAAGAGCTTTCCAAAACAGGTAGGATAACTGTTCAGGATATTTCCAAAATCACCTTTTCAAAATGGCCAACCTCTTCTTTATGATCCTACTGGGAGAAGAAGCTTGTTGTTTGGCTGCCAGGCAAAATTTTAAGTCTAAAGTCTAAAAGTCTTACACTTAATTTACTTTTGATTACTGAATAAATCTAAGATCACAGTTAAAGTATGACACAGGAGACAGACTTTACAACAAACATGAAGTAAAATGTAGTTTGTTTCACGAGCCAGTGGAAACAAGCTACACAGGAATAAGAGTTACTGTCTCAATTGTAGGTATTACTGTAAAAAAACAAAAAGTGAAGAACACCAACTTCACCTGTCTGAAGTTTTAGATTTATAGACTATGTGTCTGTTCTCTCTGTCAGATGAAAGTAGACAACCACGGTGTGGGTGAAATAAATCATTACCTGACCCTGTAAGGAATTGTAATGATCTGATTCATTCTCCTGCAGCCAGTTAACCTCAACAGGGTTTGATCAAAGCCACAACATTTAGACACAACGAGACAGATGCTTTGTCTAATTTGCCACTCAAGAACATAACAGCATGAAATACACAAAAGACTGACTGCTCCAGAACCAAAACAATAAGAGTAATAATGGAAAAAAGTTTGATAACTTGTCAGAAGCAGTAACTTGATGCACAGTAAGTATATATATATATACAGTATATACATACATACATATATAC